GAGAGAGAGAGAGAGAGAGAGAGAGAGAGAGAGAGAGAGAGAGAGAGGAGAGAGAGAGGAGAGATAGACACAGAGAGAGGCTCTAGCTAGAAAGCAAAATGGAGAGCTTTTAAGAGCCATTTGTCAGTTTCACTTCCTCAATAATGGCAAGTCCCTGGTGGTAGGTACTTATTTGAAAGATCACCCCAGGTGCAGAGAGTACTTGTGAACAAAATGGCAATTGGCATAGTGCCACGTGTCCATTCATTCATTTATTTTTATTTAAAAATTTCCACATTTTTTTTAAGGATTCATTTTACGTGTGTATTTTGTCTGGATGCATGTTTGTGAATCGTGAGCCTGGTGCTTGCGGAGGTCGGAAGAAAGAGCAACAGATTCCCTGGAACTGGAGTGATGATCAGATGTGTGCTACCGTGTGGTACTGGGAACTGACTCCATGCCCTGTGAAAAGTATCCAGTGTTCTTAACTGCTGAGCCATTGTTCCCGAGGCCTCCCATTCCCTCATTAAAAAGAAAAAAATTCTTGCAGCTGCTGTGTCTGTGATGTGTATGGTACTTGTGACACTGTGGAGATTTCAGAGGATAACTTTGTGGAGCTGGTTCTCTCCTACTACTTTTCTATGGGATCTGGGGATTGAACTCAAACTGTCAGGCTTGTGAAGCAAGAACCTTTACTCAGGGAGTCACATTCCTGGCTCTGTTTTGTTTTGCTGAGTCTAAAGGTCTCTTGTACAGATTTGCCTTGATTCCTTATTCTCCTGTCTCCAAAAGCAGAATGCTGGGATTGTAAGCATGTGCCCAAGGTTAGCTAGCCTAAGCGATTACCTGCTCTGATAGTCTTCTCTGCAGGGTCTCTCTATGTAGCCCTGGCAGGCCTGGTACTCTGAAAACTGGCCTCAGACTCAGAGATCTGCCTGCCTCTGTCTCTCAAGCCATGTGCCACTATGTCTGGCTTTTCCCTTTTTTTTTTTTTTTTTTTCCTTTGAGACAGGGTTTCTCTGTGTAGCCCTGGCTGTCATGGAATTCACACTGTACACCAGGCTGGCCTGGAACCTCTAGAGATCTGCCTGCCTTTGCCCACCAAGTGCTGGGATTAATGGCATTTTACATTATACCCAGCTAAGACCTCTATTTTTTTGAGACAGGGTTTCACTATATAATTCTGGATGGCCTGGAAATCAGAGATCTCGTCCCCTTCTCTGCTTCTAAAGTGCTAGGATTAAAAATATGCAGCACCACTGCAAGTAATAGGGCCCATTTTGCAACCAGTGAAGACAGGCATGTCACCTGGCCAACCCCAGATGACAGCCTAGAAGTTCCTTTCTGCTTTCACATAGTTTCCTGACTTCCGCATTCTCCTACACCCATTATCGGGAAAGAACCTGGGCCTCCCTCAAGGTCTGCAGGCCTTAGACCCCTAAGCCACACCTCCAGGCCATTCTTCTGTATTACTCAACATTCCTTTCACAAAGCTTTGAAAAATTCCTATTTGAAAACCAGCCTTTGAGGACAGGGTCTGGTTTAGTTTTATATCCCTAGAAAATATCCAGCATTTTTATTTTCAAGGAATGGTTGATAGCAAAAACACAAGAAGTTGGAAATTGATGATCTATGAAGTTTAGACTCAGTGTAACTGCCAAGGTTGGAAATCTTCATGATACGTACATGATACGGTGTGTGTGTGTGTATGTGTGTGTGTGTGTGTGTTCATATAGAAGCAGAAAAGGGAGATAATTCTGGAAGACAGAATATGAACTTTGGAGATGTTGAAATTTCTGCAGGAGACAGCTTTGCTCTTGTTGAGCAGTGCATGTATTCACAGAAGCCACGGGATGAGGACATCGGTCAGCATTTTAGTGGATATCAAGTTTAAGACTTAGATTGAGGGACTTGAGAAATGGGTTCAGTAGTTAAGACAGATGGCTCAAACCTTTAATCCCAGCACTTGGGAGGCAGAGGCAGGTGGATCTCTGTGAGTTTGAGGCCAGCCTGGTGTACAAAGTTGAATTCCAGGACAGCCAGGGCTGTTTCCAGAGAAATCCTCGAAAAGCAAAAACAAACGAAAAACAGAAACAGCCAGCCAACCAACCAACCAACCAACCAACCAAACAAACAAACAAACAAACAAACAAAAAAGATAGCTGGCTGTTTTTCCAGAGAACTGATGGTCTGATTCCCAGCACCTACATGGTGACTCATAACCCCAGTCTTTCTACATCATTTCCCTTCCTCCCCCACCACAGGATTTCCCTGTGTAACTTTTGGTTGTCCTGGAAATCGCTTTGTAGACCAGGCTGGCCTCGAATTACAGAGATCTGCCTGCCTCTGCCTCCCGAATGCTAGAATTAAAGGTGTGCGCCACCAATGCCTGGTACAGTCCCAGTCTTTAACCGTAGTGCCAGGGGATCCAACACCTTCCTCCATCCTCTGAAGGCACCAGGAGCTCAGCTGTTGCACAGACATATATTCAGGCAAACACATGTACATACCATGAAAATAAATAAATCGAAAAACAAGCAAGCAAGCAAACCAACAAAAACGGTCTTGTAATGAAAGAATACTCCCAAACGAACTGCCTCAATCAGCAGTTCAATGTCTCCAAACACTCTGATGGGTGAAAGATTCCTGATAACGGAGAAAGAATTACTTCTGTGATGGACAGTGATTGTTAGTGCATTTTATCAAGCCAAAACATTTTCTTCCACCCACCCCCTCCAGCCCTTAGGCTGGCCTCAAGGTTATTTCAAGGTCACATAACCTGGGATGACCTTGAAGTCCTCGTCTTCCTGCCTGTACCTTCTCACTGAGATCAGGCCTGTGATACTGCCTGTGCTTTCCATCCTTTGGTGAACTAATTCGGTTCAGCCCACATCCTGGATGGGAAAGAAGTTTCTTTGGGGCTATTTTCCCTGGTTGCCAGGGGAGAGAAGTGTTGAGTTAGGAAGATAAAAAAAAAGTGGTAGTGTCCCATTTCTTAGGAGAGCCCCCCATTTTTATTTACTATTCTCACCTGCATTTTTTAGTTGCAATAGAAGGTGAGCTGACGAACACAGCTTCTTTGTCTTCTTTCCCTGGCTCCAGAGAAGAGAACTGTGATGTCCATGCCTTGGTTTCCACATTATAATCCCCTGTCGATTACCTGATGGCAGACAAATTCCACACCCAGCAGAGGGCTGTTTCACTACGGAACTTAACAGGAATTTGAAAACTGCAGGTTTCCCCTCTTTGCTGCCTGTCCAGAGTTTTTTAGTGAGCACCAATTCTATTTCAACAACACAGGATGCAATCTAATTAGAGTAGCAACGGTAGTGTAAAAAAATTTAAATTCCTCTTATTTATTACTCTTTGCTTGTGGTCAAAGGACAATTAGCAGAGGTTGGGTCTCTCCTTTCACCATGTGGAGTCCAGACTGAAATCAGGACACTAGGCCTGATGTGGTTAACCGCTGGGCCACTTGCTGGCCCCAGCAGTTTAAAAATCTTACATCCAAAGGCTTTTGGTGACTTCTGCCAAAGAGGTTTATACACAAGTAGGTTTTAAAACATCACTTGATTGTACCCGCTTTGTGCTGTGGCATTTTACTGAGGCTTGACAAACAAGACTATAAATTCAGGGCCAGAAAGCACTGACTGACAAAAAGAACCGTCTCATCGTATTGACATCACTGACTCCATTTTTAAGATGGCTGTTTACTGCTGGGTTTACCTCCTGGTGTGTTTTAAAATACGATTGCAAATCTCAGTCTGCTCGAAATAGCTGCTCTACCCTCTTTCAATAGAAGCTCCCACCTTCTGAGTATACTGTCTCATAGTTATTTATAAACCTGATGTCAGTCAAAGATCCCTCCTCCTCATTCTCTTCCTCCACATGTGAAGACAGAGCTACATAAAATTAGAAACTTTGCATAAGGTATTTAGTCACTTAGGTAAAACTATTTGTCAGTCAGCAATTCTTTAAGTGAATGAAAAAAAAAAAGAAAAAAGGAAAGAAAGGACATGGCTGCTCCTTGGTATGGTGGAGGAGAAAGTTTACTGTAGATAAAAGGGAGAGCATAGCCAGAGGCAGAGACATCTGGGAGAGTCCAGAGTGGGCAGCACCATGAGCCACGTGAGGAGAGCAGAGCAGGTGAGGAAGAAGAGGGGGAGAGAGGTACAGCAGCCAAGAGGAGAAAGGTGAAAAAGAAAGAGGGCGGGTCACCAAAATGTCTGGATTATACGGGGAGAGCCTCTGGGGTAAGGGCAGTCAACCCCTGGGCTGGAGAGTTCATGGTAGGGGGCAGAGTATGTTGGCATTCATGCCCTATAACAGGCAGGAACTGAGGCATGCTGGGAGAACCTGGGGCCAGGTCTGTTTTGGTATGTTAAATAGGCACCTCAGCAGTTTGTCCCAGGGTTTGAGATTTAGTATAAGTTCTTTGACTAAAAGCACAGTTCTAGGCTGTTCTGGGGGAAACTAGCTCTTTCTTAAGGAAAAATGTCATTTGAGATTTTTTTTTCTTCTTCTTCTTTTTTTTTTTTTTGAGACAGTCTTTAAAAAAATTTTTTTATTCTTAAGACAGGATTTCTTTTTTCTTTTATTATTATTATTATTTTTTTCGAGACAGGGTTTCTCTGTAGTTTTGGAGCCTGTCCTGGAACTAGCTCTTGTAGACCAGGCTGGCCTCAAACTCACAGAGATCTGCCTGCCTCTGCCTCTGGAGTGTTGGGATTAAAGGCGTGCACCACCACTGCCCGGCCTCAAGATAGGATTTCTATCCTGGCTGTCCTGGAATTTGGGATCAGAGGCAGGTATATCTTAGCCTAGTGTCCCCTTTCACTTGTATGAAGTGATAGAGGTTGACTTTGAACTCCTGATTCTCATTCTCTAGCCTTCATCTTTCCTGTGTCATATTTCCCTGCGACTGGGTCTTTTCTTGAACATAGAGCTTATAGTTTTCAGCTACTACACCGGTTGGTCAAGCAAGCCAATCTTGTCTCTGGTCCTCCCCTCCAATGCTGGGGTTACAGGTACACCCAGCCTTTCCTGTTTTTATATGGGGTGAGCATAGGAATCCCATAGGTACTTAGTCTAGCACAGCAAGTGCTCTTATGCACTGAGCCATCCAGGCCCCAGGTTTTTTCTTTTTCTTTCTTTTCTTTCCTTCCTTCCTTCCTTCCTTCCTTCCTTTTTTCCTTCACTATGTAGAAGACCTGGCTGACTTTGAACTGTGTGTTGGAAATAAAGGTATTCGGTACCGCTGCAGGCTCTACAAACCCTTTTTTTTTTCCAGCTACATCTACTAATATTTTCTGGAATGTTTCTTAGATCACAGTTTAGAGAATAGGGTGATGACCTACACAAGTTACTTAGACCATGGTGCCCTGGGTTTGTGCCTGCTTCATGGATCCTATCAGGTATATGATCTTAAAAAAAAAATCATATCTAGCCAGGGGTAGGGGTATGACAGGGTGGGGATTGGGGTGACTCATGCCTTTGATCCCAGCACTCAGTAGGCACAGGCAGGTGGATCTCTCTGAGTTCGAGGCCAGCATAGTCTACAAAGCAGGTTCCAGAACAGCCATGGCTGTTACACAAGAGAAACTGTAATGGATTAAGTAAGATGCTGCAGGTCCTTGAGTGGCTGCAGCAGGCAGCAGGCCATGAGAGCAGGTCTCTGAAGGCGGCTGGTACCCAGTATGGAGCCACACAGCGGGTGAGAGGCATGTCCTGCAGAGTAAGGTTGGATATTTATTTGGTGGGTTATGGAGGGATAAGGGGGAGAAGAGGAGAAGGGGGGGGAGAGGGTGTGGCTTGTCTCTTAAAGGGACAAAGCAGACCCTTACAGTTAATATAAAAGTAAAAAATAGCTCTGTTGCAAAAGTAGAATTGGAGATGATGACAGCAGTTTGTCAATAGCTTAAATGCTGGCCATTAGAGTTTGGTTGAAATATTAAAAAATGACATCTTCTCCATTCTATCAAGTTCCTGAGGCTCTGAAGGGAATATAATAAATTATGTCTGGGCTTGGTGGCACACAGGCCAGCCAAGCGAACTTCCAGTTTGGTAAAAAGAGACAGAGAGAGGAACTACAGGCACTGACTCTGTGAAGTTTACCATTTTTAAATTTCTTTTATTTTTATTTTTATTTTGGACAGGGTCTGATTATTCCATGCAGGTCTTTAATTCCAGATTCTCCAGATTGTCCTCTGGAGAAGGAGGATCACAGGCTCGCACTAGCAGGCCCAGCTGTGTGCTAATTAACAAACGACTCTGAGTCCTCGGCGAGGACAGTGTAAGCATGGAGTCCTAAGGAACCCAGGACTTAGCCTCCCCAGGCTCCTAAAATAGTGCTCAGAGGAGTTAAAAACCATCACAAGGAAAGGAAACTAGAAGTCCTAAAAATGAAAATGCAGCAGCAAAGGTGATATTTGGCCTGGCCTCCATCTTGGGGAAGGAAGTCACCAGGAGACAGTTACTTCCACAGCAGGGAAGACTTTCAGCCACAAAGGATCATCCATTTTCCTTTTCAAGGAAAACAACACTAGTATTATTTAAGTCCTATGGAAATGAGCAAATTCCTCTTCTACAACCCCCTCAGGCCTCAACTAAGAGAATGGTTTTTCACGCATGCCTGTGACTTGGGAGTTTGGTAGTCTGGCAGGAGAGTTCATGGGCCCAGGACTGAGAAACCCAAGTCGACAGAATCCACAAGAAACTCACTTTGTTCTTTAACAATTGCCTGGGGACTGACAGACATGACGTTAAATTTACGCAAAGCTGTTTAAAATCATAACGATGTGGAGAAGCAGACACCTCTAGTATGTGGGACATAACAGTCAGAATGGCTTTGGAAAACACCTTGTGGCAAGATGACCATAAAGTCACTTGGGTGGTCACAACTGTAAAACAGGATGTATTGGATCATTCCCACCAAATGTAAACAGTGAATAAGTTATGCAATATTTAGGACACACAGGCAATTTTTTTGATTGTAAAATGAACATTAATTTTTGGAAAATGTTATCTTAAAAAAGGACAAATAATGAGACTTTTTTTTTTCTTTTTAAAACGTGTCTTATGTCAACTCATGAAAAGATTCCATTAATCTGCTTGGTTCTAAAGGAGGTTTTTGCTAACTTGTAACTCCACCAGTTTTGGTCCGAGTTTACTTGTAGATGAGGAACCTGAGCTCACGGAAGCCATTGCTTACCTGAAGTGGTCACTGTGCCATTTGAATCCATAGCTGTTAACCTGTTTCTTAGCACTTTCTAGACCTCACGATTAGCTGCCCTGTGGGAAACTGCCAGCAGCCGGTGAGGAAGGCGGGGAAGAATGAAAGGTGGCCGGGGGAGGCTCCCAGCGTTTTGGTTTGACTGACACTAGCCTGGAGGATTTGAAAAACAGGACCTCTAAGACCTTGAGTAAAAACCAGGAAATTAACGCAGACGCCGGGAGACTTGATAAAGTTCCTGCTAGTGCGAATGCCCCAGAGAGCGACAGCAGGGCCTGCGATCCATTGATCTGAGCGACTGTCGAGCCTGGGCAGGGGCTGGGGCAGGTAAGGCTGTGGGGCACGGACCGTTGGGGTTTCGGGCACTTGGTGTTCGAGACGCTTCCTTACGGTCTGCGTGTGTGTGGTTCGGGCTCCGTACGCCGCTCCTATTTTTTGAACGTCCGCGTTTCGGTCTCCCTGGCGGACAGCCCTAGTCCTGAGGGTAAAGACCCTTTCAACCGTCTTCACCCACAGCCGGGGCTTTCCCTCGGAGCCACCCGCGACGGCCTAGTGTCGCGTCGGGCGGAGGCTCGCGGGCTGGCGACCACCAGGTCGCGTGCCTGCTCCGGAGGCCGCCGCGCCCT